CCCTGGGTCCCTGCCACCCAAGTGGGGAGATGGAATTCCCAGCTCCTGATTTTGGCCTGGCCCAGCTCTGGCTGTTGTGGTCATTTGGGGAGTGAACCAGCTATGAGCAAAATCTCTCTCTCTCTTTTCTCTCACTTCCTCTTTTTCTCTTTCTGCCATTCTTTCAGATAAATAAAATAAAACTATAAAAATAAAAGGTATTCATTTTTGGTGCATAAACTGTACAAATATCCTCATCATGATAGCATTTTTCTTCTCACCTATTGGTAAGTTCTGGAATTTTAATACGTTTTCCTTTGCTGTTAAATAGGAATAGTCTTCTGAATTACCAACAAAGTCAGGAGACTCAAAAAATGTAATCATGATTTAAACTGTCATTGATATTTAACTGCAAGGAATATAAAAGTTAAGAAAAGTTAATTCATGTGCAAGCCATAAAAAGCAAGCCTTTAACATCTGGGTCTACACCAGTGTACTCAGTCAATAGTTTCCAATCTTACTGAAGCCCAGAGAGTTCTATTGGGAAGATATACTTAACTGTTTCTTCATCATTAGGTTTCTTTGTAGGCATACATGTTGGTTTTTCTGCCATGTCAAGTTGAAAGAACTGAAAATGAAGAAATAAAGTCTTAAAAATGTTCTTACAAAGGTTACATTCTTATTTTATATCACCACAGACCTGTTTTGAGTTGTAGCTGTCTTGCTACAGAGGCTTCTACACAATAAATAATATACATTCAAGATACGTGGTAATGCATGTAACCATAACACAAAAGCATTCTAGGAAAGGTAACTTCCTTTTTGAAATCAAGAGGACAAAGAGCACTCACTCTTCATTAAAGGACTCTACAGTCATGAGAAACTAGAGACTTTTGTTTTAATCCATGCTAAACCAACCAAGAAGCCTGCATAATTGCTTATCTTTCCAGAACAGCTTACCAGGGGAGTCTGGGCATTAGAGTACAACAACTGAAGGAGAATTAGAAAGACAGAGCTTATAGAATATAAAGGAGTCCCTTGGACACTGAACTAACATAATGATAATTCTCACAAAGCACCTACTATGCATCCAGCATTGTGCCCAGGGCCTTGTGCTTTACCTCGTTTAGTGCTCCTAGGAGCCCTGAGGTGGACAGATTTTCATTGCCATCTGCCAGGTGGAAAAAAGACACAGAAAGCCAAAGGAACTTACTTGCCCAGAGGTCCAGCAGGTCTGAACTGGTCCCAAAGCTGGTGTTCTTCCTACTGGCCACACTAGTGGACCAAATCACCATTTCCTATGTTTGCAACAGTTGCAAAAAAGGAGGGGAGGATACAAGGGAGTCCTGTGTGCTGATTTCCCAGGACTGCCTGGGATGACCCTGCTACCTTACTTTTGAGAACAATAGCACAAAGATATGAAGAATAGGAGGCTTATTTTAAGAGGAAATATTATATATGGGTAATGTAAAAAAAGAAAAATTAACTAAATCAAAAAATGACTCTTTGTGGTGGTCTCTTCCCTGGATCTACTCTGAAAATTGCTACCCCTTAGAATATATAAATTCTCTCATTTTCCCTAACATTAGTTGAGTTCTCTTCTATAGATAACATTCTGTTCTATGGCATGGTTTACTCTAGCATAGATTATACAAAGACGCTATATTTGTTTATGTTGGGCATCACAGTAACTTCTAGTCATTTAATTACAATTGGTAATAAACATTTAAATTACTGGGAAAATGTTGCTCCCTAACTTCTTATTCACTAAGAATGCAAATAAGTTACTACAAATTCAAGAGTATCTGTTTCTGTATAACTGCTGATATATTGGCACATCTGCCCAAGTCTAGTTTGAAAACCAGACATTGGTTGGTGTGCATTTCAAAACCCAGTTATAAATGAATTGCAGGAGACCAGCATTGGGGCATAGCAGGAAAAGCCGCCACCTGCAATGCCAGCATCCCAGCCCCTGCCTATGTGATCATCTGGGGAGTGGAGCAGCAGACAAAATATCTCTCTCTATCTCTCCGTCTCTCTCGGTAACTCTGACCTTTTGGCCTTGCAGTTAAGAGACTGGTTGGGGAGCCAGCGCTGTGCCAGAATAGGTAAAGCTGAGGCCTGTGGCACCAGCATCCCACATGGGCGCTGGTTCAAGTCCCAGCTGCTCCACTTCTGATCCAGCTCTCTGTTATGGCCTGGGAAAGCAGTAGAAAATGGCCTGAGTTCTTGGGCCACTGTACCCATATAGGAGACTCTGAAGAAGCTCCTGGCTCCTGGCATCAGATATGCCCAGCTCCAGCTATTACAGCCACTTGGGGAGTGAACCAGCAGATGGAAGACCTTTCTCTTTGTCACTCCATCTCTCTGTAACTCTGTCTCAAGTAAATAAATAAATCTTAAAAAAAAAAAAAGACTAGAACAAAAGTTCTCAAAATATGGTCTCTGAGCCCCTGAGAATCCCTGAGACTTTTTGATGGGGTCCAGGATGCTCTCTTTTCTTTCTTTCTTTCTTTCTTTCTTTCTTTCTTTCTTTCTTTCTTTCTTTCTTTCTTTCTTTCTTTCTTTCTTTCTTTCTTTCTTTCTTTCTTTCACAATACCAAGGTGTAATTTGCCTATCCCACTGTGTTAACACTTACAGTGATGGTTCAAAAGCAATGGTGGATAAAAATACCTGCTGATCTTCAGCTCGGCAGTGCCACAAAATTGTATTATTGCTCATTATGCTATTTCCCACACACGTTCACAATAACAACAGAAAATAATGTAGAACGAGCCCTCATAAAGCACTTACGTTGTACATAGACGTGTTGGTTGTCTTGAGAATAACAGATTCTGTGAGTGGCAAGAGATAGTTATTTCTTTTTTATGAAACACTGTCAATTGTAAGAAAAATTGACGAACACTGGTATTTGGGCTTCGATATCTCAAGACAATTTCTGGGAAATAAATGAAGTGTGATATAAAACATCAAGAAAAATAACCAAGGGGTCGACTTTTGGCCCAGTGGTTAAGATGCCAGTTAAGATACCCATATGCCATGTCGGAGTACCTGAGTTCTATACCCGCTCTGGCTCCTGTCTCCAGCTTCCTGCTAATGAGGATTCTGAAAGACAGCGGAGGTGACTGAAATAATTAGCTTCCTGCCATCCACATGAGGGACTCAGATCTGAGTTCCTGGCTTGTGGCTTTGGACCAGTCTAGCTTCAGCCTACTCTCTTTCTCTCTCTCCAAATCTCTCTCTGACCCTCTGACCCTCAAGTAATTTTTTTTTTTAACAGGCAGAGTGGACAGTGAGAGAGAGAGACAGAAAGAAAGGTCTTCCTTTGCCGTTGGTTCACCCTCCAATGACCGCCATAGTCGGTGCGCTGCGGCCGGCGCACTGCGCTGATCCGAAGGCAGGAGCCAGGTGCTTCTCCTGGTCTCCCATGGGGTGCAGGGCCCAAGCACTTGGACCATCCTCCATTGCATTCCCGGGCCATAGCAGAGAGATGGACTGGAAGAGGGGCAACCGGGACAGAATCCGGCGCCCCAACCGGGACTAGAACCTGGTGTGCCGGCGCCGCTAGGCGGAGGATTAGCCTATTGAGCCACGGCGCCGGCCTCCTCAAATAAAGTTTTAATATGTAATAAAATAACTGAAAATATATTCTGTAACTGATTAAATTTGAGCTTTAAAGCTAAAGTTTGAGTTTTTGGAAAACTTTTATTCATCTTTTTTTAAAATTTATTTGACAGGTAGAGTTATAGACAGTGAGAGAGACAGAGAGAAAGGTCTTCCTTCTGTTGGTTCACTCCCCAAATGGCTGCTAGGACCAGCACTGCGCGGATCCGAAGCCAGGAGCCAGGTGCTTCCTCCTGGTCCTCCCAAGCACTTGGGCCATCCTCCACTGCCCTCCCTGGCTACAGCAGAGAGCTGGACTGGAAGAGGAGCAACCAGGACTAGAACCTGGTGCCCATATGGGATGCGGGCACCGCAGATGGAAGATTAACCAAGTGAGCCACGGCGCCAGCCCCTATCCATCATTATAATCTTGACAGCTTCCCAATACTTAAAAACTTTTCCAAAGATATTGGTGATTATGACAAATATAAACTTTTTTAAAGGTTTGTTTATCTATTTAATGAGATAACAAGAGAGGGAGGGAGGGATAGAGAGAGAGGGGTCCTCTACCAGCTGGGTCACTCCCCAGATGGCCACCATGGCCGGGGCGGGGCCAGGCTGCACCCAGGAGCCAGGAGCTCCATCCAGGTCCCCCATGCTGGCGCAGGGCCCAGGTGAGCAGAGCTGGGATGCAGGCGAAGCCCTCCCGGAGAGGAGAATTCTAGCCGGTGTCCTGGTCACTGGGGAAGGGGGAACTGAGAATAAAGGCTCAGGAAGCTCCAGCGAGAAACACACGAGGGAGGGGGCGTTGGTCCCGGCCCCCTGGCCATCCCACCCAGGCCTCCAGGACCCTAGCCTAGCTCCCCCAGCAGTTCCAGGAAAGTTCAGAGGAGCCATTTCCTGCCACTCCCCTTGGTCAACTCTGAGGACCTCAGGCTCGCTCCCTTCCGCGCCCCCCCCGCCCCGCCCCCGCCCCGCCCTCCTCGCCCCCACCCCCCAGCTGCCCCCAGCCCTGGTCCGGCCCCATGGGTTCCTGGCGTTGCTTCCACTTGGGGGAACTCTGCTGGGAGAGCCTGTGAGCGAGCGTCTGCACACATACATGCACACGCACGCACACGGGTACACACACATGCACAGGTGCACATGCATACAAGGGTGAACACACACGGATGCACACGGGTGCACACAAGTACACGCACGCACACACGGATGCACACACAGGTGCACGCGCGCAGTCTGCAGGGCCAGCCCAGCTTCCTCTCCCCTAGGTTCCCCCCCCAGGGAACCCCAGACCCCGGGCGGTGGCACCTGGTGGGCCGTGGGACCCCCGAGAATGGCTCAGCCCTTAGCCCCGGGGCCTGGGCCCCGGAGACGTCCCAGTGACGCCCCTCCCAGCGGAGGGCGGTGTGGGGGGCGGCGGGCCGGCCCCTGCCTGGGGAGGGGGAGGCGGCCAAGCACGGAAGGGACTATGCAGGACAGGGCTTGGGGCACAGACCCTGGGGCCCCACAGGGCGGGTCGGGGGCGGTTTCGGGCTGGAGTTGCCGCGCCCTCGGGGAGACCCGCGGGGGGCGGAGCTCCCAGCTGAGGCCGGCTGCTGGGGAGTGAGCAGCGGACGCGCGAGGGTGCGTTCACGCCGGCCGGGGCCTGGGGCTCCTCGCGGCTCAGCAGCGTCCCCGTCCCGCGCAGGCATCTCCTCGCCCTTGAAAAAGACAGAGATGGACAAGTCGCCATTCAACAGCCCCTCGCCGCAGGACTCGCCGCGCCTGCCCAGATTCACGCAGCACCACTGGCCCGTGATCGCCCTGCACAGAGGTGAGCGCGGGGAGGGGCGGGGGCGGGGCGGGGGCCAGGGGCAGAGCGCGCACACACAGGCGGGGGGCCAGGGGCCAGGGGCTTGGAGAGAGCGCACACACAGGCGCGGGGCGCTGGGCCCAAGCCCCACGCTGACCGCCCCGCCGCATAGGCATCGTCCGGAGTCCGCACCCGTCCTCCGCCCTGCACTTCCCCACCACATCCATTCTGCAGCAGAGGGCGTCCACCTACTTCCCGCACACGGCCATCTGCTACCCGCCGCATCTCAACCCTCAGGACCCGCTCAAAGATCTCATGTCACTGGCCTGCGACCCGGCCAGCCGGCAGCCTGGTCTGGTGAGTGCGGGGTGGCCAACGGGCGGAGGAGGGGGCGCGGCGACGCGGGCAGGGGTCCGCGGGTGGAGGAGGGGGCGCGGCGCCGCGGACAGGGTTCCGCGGGCAGCCGCAGATTCCTCCTCCTGGGCTCCTGCCAGGCCCCCGCAGCGATGCGCGTCCTGTCCTCGGGGTTTCGCATTTGGGAGCGGCGGGCGAGGTGGCACCTTGTGAACAGAGAGGCGGGGTGCAGGGGTCCCAGCCCCCTGGACCTCCAGCCGGTCTCGGGCCTGCCCAACCTCCATAGCCCTGCCGGCGCCTTGGTCCCTCCGCGGCCGTCCCCCACCCCCGCTCAGCCTGGGCACCCAGTGCTCTTCCCTTCCCCGAAGGCTCTGGCCCCAGTCTAGCGGAAGGGGCGGCGCGCGTGTCCACTCCTTCCTCCCCCTCCCCCCGCACATACCGAGCTCCTTCCCCGGTCCCCCCCCCCCCGCTAGGGGGAGCCGCCTCCCAGGAAGCCGGTGGGAATCGGGGCTCCCCTGCAGGACCCGCGGTTTGCCCTCCAGAGAGCCCGGGGCCACGTGGTCAGGGCCAGAGGGGCGGGGGGGGGGGGCAGCACCGGGGTCTCAGGGGTCTCAGGCCCCAGGTGTCCGCGGGCTTCGGGAACGAGGATCCGGACTTCACAGCTCTGGGGACTCAGGGGGGCGGAGCCCCAGGCTGGCCCACTCCATTCTGGGTGTTTTTAGGATACATTTATGATTTATCTGAAAGGCAGAGTTGGGGGCGGGGGGGGGGGAGAGAAGAGAGAGAGAGAGAGGTAGAGGTGTTCCATCTACTGGGTCACTCCCAGAATGGCTGGGGCAGGGCCAGGCCAGAGCCAGGAGCTCCATCCGTGGCTCCCACGCAGGTGCAGGGGCCCAGGCACCTGGGCCATCAGCCAGGGACCCGGATGGGAAGTGGAGCGGCCGGGACTCGAACCAGCACTCCGTGGGTGCTGGCATTGTGCACAGCCCGCCATGGGCCACATCTCGCAGTGCAAGGGAGGGTTCCGCCTGGCCCTGGAAGCCCCCTACCCCCTTCTATACTTTTCCAGCTGAGAACCCTGGATCACAGCTTGGTGACCTCTGTCAGCCCTGCCCCGCCCCCTCTCACACCCAGGCCAGGAACCAGCTTCCCTTGAACTGCCAGGAAGCTGGCCCCAGATTCAAATCTTGCCTCAGCCAGCTTGAAGGCCCAGGCTTACCCCGCCCACTCACCTGTGAGGTGGGGGAGGGCAACTGTGTCCTGAGCAGACTCCCCTGGGGGTGAACTGGGCCATGCCCAGGGACTGGCATGCAGTAGGCACTTAATAGATGTGGACAGCACGTAGATTCCCCTCCCTGGAAGCCACACGGGGCTCTGACCACAAACCCAGGCTCCTGCCCCCAGGCCTGGCCAGGCCCCTGCTCCCCTCCCCCTCTGCAGTCCCCTGACCAAGTGCCCTGGGCATGATTAGAGTGAGGGAGTGAGGCCTGCAGACCTGCGGCTGTCCTGCCTTGCCCCACGCAGCAGTTTGGAAGTTACCAAATGCCCTCGGTGACAGGCGGCCCCCAGGACCGCGGGGTGCGGGGTGCCGCGGGAGTGCGTGCAGAGGGCCGGCTGTGTGACCCCAGGCAGCGGACACCCTCTCTGGGCCTGACCGGCCCCTCGCTAATGGGCTCTTGGTCTCTCTCCTCCCTGCAGCCTACTCTGCAACCAACACATTCCCTGCAAACCTTTCCTTTGGGATTAGGACCAAGGGATCCTGTGGGCAGCTTTTAGGTACAGGTAGGGGCTGAGAGGCCGCCGGAGGGGGGCTGGGAGCCTGGCAGAGGGGCCGGCCTGGCCTGGGGGGCACAGGGAGAGGAGAGGGGAGCCTGCCCGCCTCTGCTGCCAGCCACAGCCCGGGCTCCGGGGTCCTCCAGCGAGCCTGGGCTGCCTTCTCCTGGGCTCCCCCTCCTGCCTCCTGCCCAACATCTGTCCAGATGGGGAGAGGCCCAGAGAGGCCGGGGACCTGCCCAGGGTCACACAGCCATCAGCTGGAACTTGCCTCACCCCCACCCCGTGCCCCAGGCCCAGTGGCCTGGGGGGAGACCCTGCTCCGGGGAGGGGCTCAGAGCAGGGAGGTGAGTGACCCCGGGGCCCACGTGTCCCCCAACCTGCCCGCCTTCGGGGACCCTGGGCCTGAGACAGTAGGAGGGGCCCCAGAGCCCCAGCCCCTCACCGTGTTGTTGGGGAGGGGGTCTCAGATGCACAGAGAAGCCAGCCCAGAAGCTCCAGGTCATGTGGGGGAGGTCCCCGAGGCCGTGGCTGGACCCTGCTGCACCCCTCTGGGCCTCAGGCACAGGGCAGGGGCCAGCAGCTCCCACACCCAGGTCACTGGGAGCCGGGGCGGCACTGACCAGGGCCCAGACCCCCTCCAGTGGGGGCTTTGAGCTCCTAATTGATTCAGAAACCAAAGCTAATAGGGCTCAGGCCTGGCCCTAACTCTTCCCCCGCCACCTGCCTGAGAGCAGAGGGAAACCACGCCAAGCAAGGCCCCAGCGAGGATGGGGTGGGGGGCCAGGGTGCAGGGAGAGGAGGGGAGGGGCCTCCCTGGCAGGGCTCACAGGGAGGGGGGTCCACAGTGGGTCAGGGCGCTGGGACAGGTTGTGACTGTTGGGAGGGGGTGTGAGGGCAGGTGCCGCCCGCTCCCTGCAGCCAGGGAGGGGGGAGGAAGCCAGAGCCCCGCTCTGGGCCCCCTCAGGGCTGATTCCAGCTCTGTCCGCACTTCCTCCCCCATTGGTGTTATTCCTGGCAGTGTGCCACTCAGCCCCCCACCCGCCCCCAAGCCTCCTCCTCTGCAGCCCCTCCCCCAATCAATACCCATTGATCTCCACCCCCACCCCCAGCGCGTGCCTAGCCCTCTGAGCTGGGCTCACCTGGACACCCCAGCCCCCAGCCACCCGCCGGCCCTGGGATCACCCCAAGGAAGGCCAGGGTCATATGCCAGAAGCCACGTGGAGGCAGAGGCTGTCCACTGGAGAGGGTCATGCCCAGAGCCTGACTGGTTGCCAACGGAAACCAGACATGAGGTAGTTGCCAAGATTAACTTGAACATGGCTGGAGGTGGGCAGCTGCGAGCTCAGGTGCCACTTCCTTGGGATGGCCCAGTGGCTGCCATGTTGCCTGGTTCCCGGGGACACCAGTGATAAGTGTCAGGGGTGGGTGACAGCTCAAGCCCCCCGGCAGATCTGGGGTCTAGGGAGAGGGACCCAAGATGCCCCCAGCTGGCCCTGGAGTCAGGAGATAGGCCCGAGCAAACACCTGCAAGTCCTGGCGTCTAGGGAGATGGGCCCGAGCCACACCCCCCAGCCCTGGAGAAGAAGGAGACAGGCCCAAACTCCATGGCCGGCCCTGGGGTCTAGGGAGACAGGCCCGAGCTGCTCTCAGACAGCCCTGGGGTCAAGAGACAGGCCTATGGCACTGTGGCTCAATGGGCTGATCCTCTGCCTTTGGTGCCTGCACCCCGGGTTCTAGTCCCGGTCGGGGTGCTGGATTCTGTCCCGGTTGCTCCTCTTCCAGTCCAGCTCCCTGCTGTGGCCCAGGAGTACAGTGGAGTATGGCCCAAGTCGTTGGGCCCTGCACCTGCAAGGGAGACCAGGAGAAACACCTGGCTCCTGGCTATGGATCAACATGGTGTGCCGGCAGCAGTGCGCTGACCACAGTGGCCACTGGGAGGTGAACCAACAGAAAAAGGAAGACCTTTCTCTCTGTCTGTCTTTCACTGTCCACTCTGCCTGTCCAAAAAAAAAAAAAAAAAAGAGAGAGAGAGAGAGAGAGAGAGGGAGAGACAGGCCTAAGACCCCACTGGCCAACCCTGGAGTCTAGGGAGATAGGCCCGGACTGCCCCCAGCCGGCCCTGGAGTTGAGACACGGGCCCAGGCTGCCCCCAGCCAGCCCTGAGATCTAGAGTGATGGGCCCAAGCTTCCCCCAAGCGGCCCTGGGATCTAGAGAGTTGGGCTCAGACCACCCCCCACCCCAGCCCTGGAGAAGAGGGAGACAGGCCCAAGCTGCCCCCAGCCAGCCTGGGAGTCCAACACTGGCCTGAGTTGCCTCCTGGCCGGCTCTGGAATATAGGGAGAAGGCCTGGGCTGCCCCCGGCTGTCCTAGAGTCAGGAGAAGGGCCCGAGCCACCCCCGGCCAGCCCTGGGATCTAGAGAGATGAGCCCGGGCCGTCCCCCCCACCCCAGCCCTGGAGAAGAGGGAGACAGGCCCAATCTGCCCCTGGCCAGCTCTGGGGTCTAGGGAGACAGGCCTGAGCTGCACCTGGCCAGCACTATGGTTGAGACTTGGGCCTGAGCTGCCTCTGGGCAGCCCTGGGGTCTAGGGATACAGGCCTGAGCTGCCCCCAGACAGCCTTGGAGACAGGAAACAGGCCCGAGCTGCCCCTGGCTGGCCCTGGTGTCTAGGGAGACAGGCCTGAGCTGCCCCCAGACAGCCCTGGAGGCGAGACATGGGCCTGAGCTGCCCCTGGCTGGCCCTGGGGTCTAGGGAGATGGGACTGAGCTACCCCTAGCCAGCCCTGGGGTCTAGGGACATGGGACCGGGCCACCCCCACCCCTGGCCCTGGAGAAGAGGGAGACAGGACCGAGCAGCCTCTGGCCGGCCATGGGGTCTAGGGAGATGGGCCTGAGCTGCCCCCAGCCAGCCTTGTGATCTAGGGAGACGGGCCCGGGCTGCCCCCACCCCCTGGCCCTGGAGAAGAGGGAGACTGGCCCGAGCTACTCCTGGCTGGCCCTGGGGTCTAGGGAGACAGGCCTGAGCTGCCCCGAGCCAGCCCTGGGGTCGAGACACAGGCCCGAGCTGCACCCGGCTGGCCCTGGGGTCTAGAGAGACTGGCCTGAGCTGCCCCCCAGCCAGCCCTGGAGTCAAGACATGGGCCGGAGCTGCCGCCTCGCTGGCCCTGGAATTGAGACACGGGCCGGAGCTGCCCCTGGCTGGCCCTGGGCTCTAGGAAAATGGGCCCAAGCTGCCCCCGGCCAGCCCTGGGGTCTAGGGAGACAGGTCTGGGCTGCCCCCCACTAACCCTGGAGAAGAGGGAGACAGGCCCAAGCTGCCCCTGGCCGGCCCTGGAATTGAGACAAGGGCCTGAGCTGCCCCCGGCAAGCCCTGCGGTCTAGGGAGATGGCCCAGGCTGTCCCCCACTCCAGCCCTGGAGAAGAGGGAGACAGTCCCA